ATGAGAATTTTTGGGTCTATGTGTAGTATTATTTTATTGATAGAATGTGTGATTGAAATGAAGAAAGAGAAAAAAAAAATGAGAATGAGAATGAGAAGAAAATGGGTGTCAAACAGTGGCTAAATTTGTATCTCAGTGTACTCATTCAAGAGCATAATGGTCTGGACACAGGCACGGATACATCTGAAACTGATGCATGTGCATAGATACATACATCTGTGCATTGGTTTGTGGAGAGAGAGTAGCAGTAGGAGCAGTTATTCTTGGAAAATGGCATTTTTTTTCCCCTTCTTAAACTTCTCTCAATCAATTTATGACGAGTAATGAAGTTGTCTGTACATATACTCATAGACTAGCTGCTTATCCTGCGCAAATGTAGATCAAGAGGTTATCATCATAAAACAATTCAGAAATTTAGTAATAAAACCTAGCCATGAAAAGACACGGACAAAAAATTATGGATTTTGATATAAACTTCAACAATCTTAAGAAATATATTCCTTTATCTGCAGATAAAGAAGTACATCTGATGCATTCAATAAAAAAATCATACATACTTTTTTTTTTTGGAATCAAAAAGTTGTTTAAATACATGTAGAGGTGATATTTCTACCCAAAGATTGTGAAGTATGACAATTAAAAACTTCTTGAGCTTGTAAAGTTCCTTGCCTTGTTTACAAAATCCTGTGAAGAAACAAAAATACATAGTCATTATAGTGCTCACAAGAAAAAATGTACTCTATTCTTTCATTGTTCTCGGCCAAATGTAAATGAAATCTACCAAAATCTTTTTAAAGTGGATAAAAACTTGAATGTTTGAACTACTCTGAGGTCCAAATACTAAACTAGTTGCTGATTAACTATTTTAGAATAAGATGTAAATTTTAGATTGTCCACGTTTTTTTATCAAATGAGAAGCATAATTTTGTTTATAGTTCTGATCGAAAGTTCACTCATTGGACGAAAAAATCAAATTCTATTCCATTCCATTTGTGCACATTTGGTTCATTCATTAGACAGAATGCTAATATGATAAACAACTGAACAATAAATGGACAATGCAAAATTAAATCAAATATAGTGATCATAATTAAAACAAACCAAAATAGTGATACTTTCACTCGATCAATATTCAACATCAATCCACAATTCAGAAATCCAAATGCTCGAAAATCACATAAACCATGACTGATATAAACAGAAGATGGAAGCGAAGGAAAATTAGAAACACAATTTCATCAAAATCAGATTCACTAATAATTACATAATCTAGTAAAAAATTGTACTACCATACAGTTTGAAAAAATAAAATAAAATGTGAGAATTGACATTACAAAGGCGTCGCCAAGTAGACAACGGCGCGAGGACCGAACAATGGAATTGCATAGCCGTAGATGTGAAACAGTTGGACGTCGTCGTTTCTGCTCTTCAATGAGCATGTTGAAGGTATTGTGAATACTGACTATAATGAACTTTAGATTTAACCGTTCGGCCCAAATTTAGCAATTACCAACCGAATAAGGGTGTAAATAAAAAATGTTCCCATAATAGCATAATATGAAATAGGTTGATTTTGTCCCGCTACAGTAATATTAAGTTTGACAATTTTTTTTTTTTTATTTACAGTGAGTCAAGTGATACACTTTTTATCCTTGATTTCAACAACACTTCAAATAATTCATAGGACAATTTTTTACATCTCATACAATGTCAACCTTAATGTGTATATATGGAATGTACAAATAACATTTTCATTTTGTTGATTAAATGTGTGTTTGGGCCACATTATTTTGAAAGAATTTATTTTCAAATAGTAAATTGATGGAGAATATGTGGTTGAAAAAGAAGGAAAATTATTGATGTGATGGAAAATATTATTTTATTGAAGAATGTGTGGTTGAAAATGAGTAGAAGAATGAGAATGAAAAAAATAATGTGGCTCAAGCACGATATTAAATTAGATGAAGAATTGATGTATTACGATGAAAAACAACGAATATACAGATGCAAGACATATAAGTTAATAAAAGCAACCCCTTATCCATAGTACAGTTGCACACTTAACAAACCAAGGAAAGTTTTGTCCGTATATAACCTCAGGTAAAAAATTGGATTTGGAACACATAAAAGACTAGATAAAAAATAAATAGATTTCCAATTAAGCAAGCAGATTCTTTTACTATGACTTAGCATTGTGTATAACTAGATTCCAATGAAGCAAGCAATTTCCTTTACACTGAACAAAATGATTTGGCATTATGTATATAGATTCACCTGTGGAAACAGATCTCGACATTCGGTGGGCGGCCACTTGGATTTACATATGAAACTTTTACNAATTAATTTTCCCACATAAAAGGTAAGAAAATATTTTCCTCCCACGCATGGAATATGGCGCGTAGATGGAAAAAAAAAGTTAGATTTTCCATGCCAAATTTTTGTCATCAAACACCACTAAACATGGAAACTTGGAAAATATTTTCTTTTTCCACCCATTTTCCATGCTATCAAACATGGCCTTATTTTCAAATAGTAGATTGATGGAGAATATGTGGTTAAAAAAGAAGGAAAATTATTGATGTGATGGAAAATATTATTTCATTGAAGAATGTGTGGTTGAAAATGAGTAGAAGAATGAGAATAAAAAAAATAATGTGGCTTAAACAGGGGCTAAGCCTATGTTTGGTTCCCATTTATTCGAAAATTTATTTTTTCAAAATCTATTTTTTACCATATATTCTTCCATAAAATAATATTATAGTAAACCCAAAATTAGTTCTTAATTTTTAATTACATTCTTCAATAAAACATTATTCTAAAATACATTTTGACCAAAAATAAAAAATAAAAAAAGGCTCAAACAAGAGCTAAGTAGTGATGGAAAAAGGACAAGCTCTCTTTCGAGACGAATTGTGAAGTGAGTCAAGTCCAACTTTTTCATCGTCGATTTGAACGAGTTGACTTGGAGGACCAACCGAGATATTAGCCCCTAATTGTCAATTCTCCCAAAAAGAAAAAACTCATTTTTCAACTACATTTTCGCAATAAAATACTTTGCACATAATTCTTTAACAATATATTCTGAGAAAAGTTGCTATTTCAAAACTCATTTTTCCAATTTAAAAAAAAAAACTTGTTTTAAGGGACATCAAACATGACGTAGCCAACTATGGCTGCAAAAGTAGTCATAGCTTGCTATGATTTTATGTTGTGGTAGGTACCATCAGAGAGATGCTGCTCATCCATAGCCAAAACCAGGCCCAAATCCAGGGGGCAATGTGCATCTTGATTTGAATTCATGTGGGGCCCTCTTTTTTTCAAATCAGGGGCTGAGGCCTTGGATTCTGGTCGGTCATTAACGCTGGCCGACTAGCATTAATGTTTCAATTTAGGCAGGCCAAAGGTTAGGATGCCTTGTCTAAATTTTGAAATTCAATTATTATTATTTTTGTTTTTTGTTAACATTTTTCTGTCTATAGACGTTTCTAAAATAATTTCTTTACAATTTCGATGATTTTTTTTTTTTTTTTTTGCAAAATTGTATCATTACATTATTTTTAAAAATTGTACATAAAATATTAAATCGTGTATAAATCTAACTTTTACCTACATATCATGTAATCAATCTTAAGTCCAAATAAAATTTTACAAATTTAAATTTCTTTTAGTAAACACGTTGACATAATTAATTTTTTCAAGTTTATCACTTTCAAATTTTGCAAATCGCAAAACAAAAAGACTATAAATTAAAAAATATATATATGCAAGGAGCTAGTGAGCGAGTTGCATATTCTTCAAATGAGCAGACCCATGCTTGGCTCGTCCAAAGCGAAGCTCGCCTAGTGGGCCGTGTTGAGCTTGGGGATCGATGAGCCAAGTCTAACCGGTTAACATCTCTATGATTAAATGAGGCCAAGTCAATTCTATCTAAGTACAACATGCTGAATGCTTATGGTTGCACCTCTTGCTTCTTGACGATCAATTTTTATGATAACTTATTTTTACTTTGATAAAAGCGTATGCAATTGTTTGGGGTTCACTTTTAAAATTTTATTAAAATTTTAAGTTAGTAAAAACAAACAGTAAATAAGTGAATGATACTTGTAAGAATAATGAACACAAGTCATTTGTTGTTAAAATTAATATTTAATATAATTTTTAACAAAAATAAAAAATGTACCCAAACAAAGGCTACTTATCCTGTTTCTAATTATTTCGTGTAGTCATCTCAATTTTCACCTTTTAATGGTATTCATAATAATCCAACATTTATATGTAATAGAGGACTTAATAATTTTCTGTAAAGTTTTTCACTTTCGTTTTTTAAGATTTCGTTGAATACACAAATATCTAGTTTGCCCATCTAAGCCAAGCACGAGGGTAGAGTCATTTTTTATTCTGCGTGTATAACTAATTAATCAAGATTGAAGTTGCATTCATCCTTGCTCTAGTTCTAACACAAAGAGGACGTTTGTATTCTAAGAAGCAATATTTCTTTAAAGATTCTAAGAATATTCAAATAAACAGGGAAGAATGAATTCAATCTTTTGTTCTTCAAGAACTCAAAACGAGTGGTTGAAGCCACAACACTTTTCTTCTAATATCCAGAGTGTTAGATGGAATGTCTAAGTCAAAAACTAAAGCTAACACTTACCTCCGATCAGTTCAGTGCCACCCGCAACTTCAGGAGAAAGCGTAGCCTCCCAAAGCGTAGCCTCCCAAGAGGCTACGAAGGTGTGCAAAGATTTCTTCAGCTCGGACAGAAATTGACCCTCAAACCCAAAGGCAGAACAGAGCTTGACTGCAAGCCCCACCCTCAAGCAAGGTGGGACGAGAATAATTTTTGTAATGAATGAAATAACACAAATCAGTTTTCTCATTTAACATGTCCATAAACAATTTATTAGTTCATCAATAGGCTTCTAAGAGACTTAAATAAAACCACCATCACAAGTTCGAAATCACAATCATTAGTAGAATTGCATAATTCTGCTGCACTGTCAATACACTATTTGACGACGGAATATAATTTCAGCATGGGGAGAAGCTCTTGGTAAATTTAGCAGAGTCTCTTCGTCTCGTCTGTAATCTGTTCCTGGACTAACAACTATAATTAACTTTTCTAGTGTACTTGCATTTTCAAGCAAGAATAGTATCAGTTCAAGAGTGGATGCCCCAAGACCTATGTCTCCTGGGTAGCCAGTGAATTTCACTGTCTTTAGACGCAGCAACGTGATACCAGAAACTTTTGGGAATCCGAAGAGTATACCTACCGCAGGAACATCTGAATTAAGTAAAAGCTGCAAGTACAAAGTTAGAGTACAGTGAGAATTTTGAATATGTATGTATTAATTCCGTTAATTGCTAAAATTACACATCCGCTCAAGAAGTCTGCAGCTTCAGCCAACCAGAGGCACAAATTTTATGGGATGAACATTGGAGAGAAACGAAAATTTTGCAATACTTGAACACAAAAATCTGGGGTTTACAATAATATAGCTCAACCTAGTCTCCCGTTCTTTCGATGGTTTTCCTTTATAAACAGAGGCATACAAGAGAATGAAAAAGAAATGTTTTGTTTATGTTCCGAATAAAGACTGGTTAAATGGCCAGTTAATCAGGTTCAAAACTACAATAATTACTTGACCAAGGAAACTTTTGACTCTTTGATCAACAAAATTAGTTTTAATTAATCAATCAACAGCAAGGGAGTTAGATAAGCTTACATCTGAGCAGCCGTCACGGGTTCTGTTTACGATTAGTGTCTCGATGCTTGGGGAATTTAGCAGAAGTCTAAAAATCCTAGGTGTATCCACTTCATCCAAATGTGCTGTTAGCACTAAACTTTTCCAACGTGTAGGTGGAGTTGGCCAGCAAATTATCTCCCCCATGGAAAGCATCTTATGTACACCAGAGAGAAGGAAAGAACAATCCCGTTAGGTTCCACATGCAAATATTCCCGAATAAAATGAGTTAAAGAGCATTTTCTGTTTCTCCGTATTGGAGAAATCACATTTTATACACAAAATACTTGTAACAGTTTGAATACATTTGAAAGCATTATTCACTCACTGCCATTTAGGAGCAAAATCAGAATCTACAGAAACTAGAGAGACCAATTTCTATGGACATTAGCTTGCCATATTATCATAGAGATCACTAAAGTAGTTATGATGTTCTGATTTCTTTAATTACTTCATTTAAGATAATTCTAATAAGGTTTAAAAGCACCATACAGGAATCCGAGCACATTTCAAACCAAAACAAGAGCAGTTGAAAGAGTACTATATTCATGATTATCAAAACCCAACTCTAAAATACATGCACGGAAAGCATGATGCACTTTTCAGCTCTGTTCGCTGGAGAACCTGATAAAGTGGACGATCATTAAATGGCTAATTTCATTGTTTTTGGAATTTCATTTGCACCGATTCTCTACCAGTTGTGATTTGTATATATGTGAAACACGAATGGAACAAGCGTGATTTAAGATGAACAAACCTGAATGCAATAAGGCCCCAAGTTGATTTCCTTGACATGGTGGAGGCTTTCAAGAAGTTGTTTTGCACAATGACACAGAGCATCCGAGTAGTAATTAATTTTTGCAGTAACAAGAGATGAGACATTTATCAGCTGAAAGCCTCTGCTGTGGGTAGTACCCAGAATGTGAAGTGACTGAATATATTGCGCTGATATTTCCAACAGCAAATCAGAAAATTCAGCATCACAATTTTGTATCACCAATGTTTTTACACTTGTAGAGTTGATAGTTAAATTCTTCATGCGCCGGCATGCATTTATTTTCAAGAACTCTAGAACAGGACTACCAGATAAAATCATTTCAATGGTGCCCTCAGCTAAGTCCACTTTCGTGATAGATAAACTCTTGAGTGATCTCCATGCAACAGCTCCGTTTAACCCCAAAATGCAATTCAGCAGGCTCAAATTTGTTATTGATGGGGCATGGTATACATGATGAGGCAATTTGTAGGGTGTTGAGCACAAATGAAACCGTAAATCAAGATCTTCCACCTTATGTTGTATAGCCAACAATATCCAGTTATCAACTTGGCTATCATAGCATCTATTGTACATAAAATCAACAGCAAACTTTTTCATATAGCCAGCCCTATAATTCTCTAGCGTTCTAGTGACCCTCTCAACAAATGGCTTACTCTTGGAAGAGCAACGGTTGTGAAACATGAGTGTCGACAGAGAAGTCCAAAGGGATTTCCATCTTGTCGACAATACACTAGTACAAACTGCCTCCTGCACGTTTAAGAAAGAAAGTATGTGGAGTATTACCGAGTCATTTAAGTCACTTAATCGATCTACCATTACTCTCTTCAGCCTCTTTTTCTGTGGTTGTAATGGAAACCACGGAATGCATTTTTCCATGATCCTTTCTTCTTCCTTTTCTTCATCCACTCCTTGGTTGACATTGCTATCAGACTCTTCTTTGTTGTCAGGAAAACGGTTTCTATTTTCTTCTCCTACACAGTCAACTACATGGATCCCATTCACCATGGTTTCTATATGAAAATAGAGCAAGAGAAGGTAGAGATATGCAAGGAATTGAAAACTTTTAACGGTGGACTAGAATCCTACAAAACCACAATATTCAAGACAACATATCATCAGTGAGAATCAACATAGAAAACAGCAAAACAGCAGAATTCACACATATCTCAGCATAAAAAGCAGGCTAAGCAATATTCATGTCAAGAGTCACCAATAAGGAAAAACTGACCATAAACTTCCAAGCTTGATAATTTACAGAGATAAAAGAAAGGTACAGATTATAAGACATAGGATTAAGAATTAGAAAACCTAATGGGCAGTTTCATAAACTAAAAATTGGATGCCGAATTATAAAGTAAACAGTTCACAATGTGAAAATTTGTTTGCTAAGGCACTGAATCTAATGCTCAGCCAGTTTTTTGGAACTGGTTGAGGCTATACCGCTATAGAGGAGATGAAGATGAGAAAAGCAACTAGCCTGGATGGAATTTGTATCAAAGTTTCAAGCGGTTTAGATGAGAAAACTGCCAGATGAGATCTTAGAGAATCAAAAGCTGCCACATCAACTGAGGAAGAGCGATAAGGAAGATATTCAAGATACAATGAATTATAGAGTTATTAATCTCTTAACAAATCAGTGGAGAGGGTTATTGAGCAAAAATTGAAGTGCAATTCAAAAGTCTTGGAGAATCAATTTGGCCGACAGCAAGATCTATAATTGAAACCATTTACCTGCTTAAGTAATGAAGAAAGTATGAAGAAAAGAAACGAGCTCTGCATATGGTGTTTATTAACTTTGAAAATTCCCACGACATGGTTTCAAGAGAAGTGCTACAGTGAGTGCTAGTGAGAAAGAAATTTCCCTTACATATGTCAATAAGATTAAAAAGAAGTATGATAGAGCAGTCATTAGCTTGATTTGTAGAGGCAGAAGTAGTACAGAGTTTTCTATCACTGTGAGGCTTGCATCAAGGTCAAGTCCTTATCTTTTGGCTTTTATCATAGATGAGCTTACAAATATCTGATGACTTTCATAGTGCATGTTATTAGTGGCGGAGGTCAGCTAGGGCGGTCATTAACCGTTGACTATTCACCATCGACAGTCAACGATCGTAATAGCGGGGTCATTTATCAATATTTAATTAAATAATTAAAAAAATTCATGTGTAAATACACTAAAACGTAAAAATCACGGATTAAACTATTATCAATTTCCAATTTCCAACAACAATTTATTATTTATCATACAAATTCACCAATTTATCATTTTCGTTTATATCAAATCAAATTCACAGTCCACATATATAAAATATTCTCAAATTCCCAAATATCAAAAATCTCACCAATCAGTAGTAAAATCCTCAATATTCTCAAATTCTCGAATTCACAAAATCCCCAATTCTCTAATTCACTATAGTCAATAGGCAACAGACAAAGTTCTAACTCATAAAACATAAATTATAACTCATATATGATAAATTAAAAAATGAACTAAACTCTAAAAGAACAAAAAGCAAAAAGAAAAAAGAAAAGAAAAGAGAGGCGGCACACTCACTGACTCACAAGAGTAATGCAATCACGCAAACCAGTGGAGGAGATCGGAGAGGCTAGCGTCGGGGAGGCGACTCGTCGACGACCGGCAACAATCACACCGTCATAGGGCACGGCTGGGTGTTGCACTGCCAGTTTCGTTTGGAATTGCAAATGAAATTTGTGGTGCGATTTTTCTTCTTTCTGATTCAATACAAACCAAATTGTCTCATATTAGATTGGGCACATCTTTTTATAAAAAAGAAAAAAAAAACAAGAGGCCCAATTCCAAAAAAGGCCCATAATAAAAAACAAAAAGCGCTCAATCCAATTGCTTTCATCTTCAACCTCATGTCCCATCCTTAACTCCTGCATTTTCTGATTCAAGTTTTCTGCAGTGGCTCCCAATCGGCCATGACGACCTTGGCTAAGCCAGCACACGCGGGCTCCTCCACTGAATGTTATTCGCTGATGACAATTGTAATTGATGATACTATATGGGCGTTAAATATTAAGTTAGAATTTTGAAGAAGTGCGTTGAAATTTAAAGGTTTTAAATAAAGCCAAGACAAAACCGAGTAGGAATAAGGATGATAATATAATAGCTATAGAGGACTTTGTTGTCCAAAAACTAGTTGCTTTAGGTATTGGAGGTTACGATTATTGACAAGGAATGAGGTGTTGAAGAGATATATTAAAGGCCATATTATTTATTTACATATTGAAAAGTTACAAATCAAGATATATTAAAATAACTGTGCAAATAATCAAAACCATAAAAGAAATTTCCACAAAAATATATTAAGGATCAGTGATTATTGACTTACTGAGTATTGATTATTAGTGCAACACATGTACTTATATAGCTATACAAAGCTTCTTTTACATATTTTTCTTTTGTAACAGATCCTATACTATATGCTGCAAATAATATTAAATCGTATTTATACAAACGGGCGTCTTTAAGTTTATATATACCAGCCTTGTTCTCTATTTATTAAGGAGATTTTGCTACGTTTTTTTCTTTCTTGTTCATAGTTGCGACAATTTAATTAATAAGATACATTGTGGCTATGTTTAGTTCGCAGATCACTGTTCAGATGAGTCGAACAAGAACGATTTTATACTGATATTAGCCACATTTATGCCTGGTACGAACTGACTAAAGTTTCAAAGAAGGAATTTTATCTAGTAACAAGTTTAGAATAAGAAACAGTTCAAATACAATTCTTTCCCAATTATATAACCTACATTTTTATCCTAACTATAGCATATAGGTTCAATTGCTTAACAGTTTTATAGATCAGCTTACCTATTAAAAAAAAAGTTTTGTAGATCAGCTTAATTCAAAGGAAGAAATCAAAATCCAAAGGGAAAATGAGAAACTGAAAACACTGATGATCCGCTCGTATATGATTTTTCTTTTCCTTTCTAGCATGTGTGATTTCGACTTTACAGAGCACTGATAACAAAAAAAAAACCCCATAAAAAATTTAAAGATGATCGAGGGATGATTACCTTCAACTGCACATTGATGGCGACGATGAAACCTCGATATAGATATAAAGAGGCATTTGGTGTCTTTGATGTTTAGGGAGCAAAAAAAAAGGAAATTATACAGCGAGGGTTCTCATCAGCACATTATAACGCCAAACCCCCTCCTCAGATGCTTAGTGCGCCAGGGGGATACAAAAGTAGTGGGGTCAGTTTCTTAATCTGAAAATGAGCCCATGTTTAAGTCTAGTTAATTTTTTCATTCTCAATTTTTTACTCATTTTCAACAATATATTTTTAATAAAATAATATTTTTTATCACATCAATAATTTTTCCTTATTTTTCAACCACATATTCCCCATAACATAAAAAAATGCATTCTTGGGTCGATAATGTGCACCAAACAGGGGTTGAAATGATGACCAAGTACTTATAAAGCGGTTGAAACCAAAGAGCAATTTTATATAGCTTAATGACTTAACCAAACAAGATCTATGTGCATTATATAAAATTCGGAAACAACTTAAGTAGCCATTAGAATTGAATTTACCAGCAAGCAGTAAGGTTTTTTTTTAGACCTAATTGAATGTTGACTAATAGTGTAGGACCATAGAGCAATTTCATTTACACGTGTAGATTTTTTCTTGGCTAAATCTTAGGCTTTGTCTGGGAGCGATTAAAATTTGCTTAAAAGTCATTTTTTTACCGTTGCGTTGTGCAACAGTAAAAATTCTAAGAATTGGGTTGAATGTTGTGTCAAACCAAAAATTACTCTTGTGCTCTCCATTTCATTTTTGAATGAAGACAAACAAACCACCCCACCTACCGGTCAATAATTTCCTATCCACCTAACCAAAGTGCTTTCCCCTTCCATTCCATTCTCATCCGCCTCAGGAAGCTTGTAAACTGTAGTGCTTCGAAATGGGTCTCCGACTATGGCCTTCGTCTGTAAATTTCACTTGGTAAGAACTTCGATCGACCCAGTTGCATAATTTTACCTTTTCAGCTCACCCTCCCTCATTTTCGGACAGTAGCAAGAAAAAATACTGTCGATTTACGCACCATAAGGTTGCATCTATCACTTTCAAAATCACAGATCTAGTTTTCCCCTCTTTGTTCACCATAAACATCCACTATCGTTTATTTCCCGATAGCCCCTTGTGTGCATTTCACATTTGGTGTAACCCAGTAGAAACGCACCTCAAACACAAAGATTGTCGAGAAATGAAATCATGGACCCGTTCCTTTCTCCGGTAGGTACACTGCCTCCTTAATTTTTTAGTCGACACGAAGACATTCCCGAATGTCGATCGTAAGCTTTTGTAAAAAATGTAATTTTGCCTTTGATCTTCTGTTTATGTACAATGTGTAATGTTTTCGTCATTTGCAGCAAACGGGTTATTACCCGCACTCCTCTACCTCCAATGGTCCTCCCGTTCAATGTAAGTTGGGGGGCCATAAGAATGCACAATGGAGTTCGTTTGAAATGAACATCTTCGTCGCTGCCTACAAGACCGTCATCGCTGACGGACACAGAAATGGAAAGTACTTCACCAAACACGACTGGGATACATTGATTCATTTGTTCAATACCAATTCTGGCCACAATTGGAACAAGCAGCAGCTGAAAAATCGATGGGACGCCCATCGCCTGAAACACAAGAGATTTGAAGAATCGCTCAACTGCAGTGGCATCTCGTACGACCCATCGAGTGGGAAGATTGGCGCGTCGAACGAGTGGTGGGCTCGAAAGATTAAGGTATCATCGTTTCATAAACCTTCGGTCAATGTTTGGGCTTCTGTGTTCAACTGTTTTCGTTGAGGGAAAGTAGCAGTAGATTGATGAATTACGTAATGTTCGTTAGCATTCTGCATGTTCTTTGTAATCCTTTTATAAGTTGTACAGTATGTGCATGAATTCTATGTGCGAAAACTGAAACAGTAACAGGAAATTTATGTATAGTAATAGAGAAAAAGAGGG